TCGATCACCATTGGTAGAGCAACGCGGGCTCGTGCCGCGCCTGCTCTACCAATGGTGATCGAACACCTCTCTCGCCGCCCCGACAAATTGCAATGTTACAAACTATACTAGCACTTTTCTGAGGTGGAAACTGTACCATCCTACATTCTTAAATCGAGATGGGCAGTTCCTGTGAAACTTTAGAAGTACATAAGGTCGTTTTCACTGGTGACGCTGGGGCGTGTCAGCGGCTGCGTTTGGAGCGGCGACTGTTCGTTCTCCACCACCTGTTGCGCTTGTCAGCCTCAACAATTGATGGGAAATGGGCTGGCAGTGACGAACTCGGCCCCATGACACTTCTCGCATCTGCAGCAAAAAAGTATGTACACTTGAAATTTCGTCAAGCACGAAGTTTCATGCGTCAGTGATTACGATTTTTACGATACAGCCATACACACCCCCTTGCTCTTATGGGGTACTCCTTCAAGCGCTAACTTCAACTGCGACATGGAACAGATCACTTAAAATTTTCAAATTATTTTCTCTAATTTTCTGCAATATTTAACAAAACTCGAGTTCGTCGAACGGATTTATTGACACCTGGCATTTCACTTTCTATATTTCACCTCGTTTCCAGTGTTCGGATATATGTACTTATTTGTGGTGAAGAACGGGTGGACATCCTTTTTACTGAGCCCGCATATAGCAATATTTCAACGTGTGTCATGGGCATAAACATCAACAGCAAGTGAAAACATAAGAATAATTAATTTTGTGTTAGTCGAACGCTCATCAAGCTCGACCGCAGCTGTCCATGACTCCAAGCATTCCTTTCAGCTGGTCCCCAGCTGGTCCGACGCTATGCTGCTAGGTAAAGGCCCATACTCCGGCGTAAGACCATAAGCGATCGAACCACGCTATGCTCTTCTCGTCTGCCCACCTTCTTTCATCAGACAGCGTGAAGAGTGACCAAAAACTTTCATCGAGTAGGATCCTTTCGCAATTTATCTATTCAGAAATAGTGGTAAGTGTTTTAATATAGTTTTATACGGTTTTTGACCTGTTCGATTTGGTGGGGCATTTTGCTGGTTCCCATCATCACTGCCGGCGCCTGCAGTGAAGATCTGTATATTTATTTATTTATTTATTTATTTATTTATTATACACGCTCAAGTTGCGTCTCCATAACGTTCAACTTATACTAACGATGATCTACGATCTTACCTAAACTGAGAAAACAGACATTCATTAAAATAGGTAAAGTTCTCCAGTCAGAACTTTGCTGGAAGTGGTGTCAGTACAATCCCCCCACCTGGAATAGGGTCTCGGTACGACCCCTTTCCTCCTTCCCCAACACCTACCTACCAATTTTCCACATTTTCCCAGTTTTTCTTGGTCAAACGAAAAAGTCAACATTCGGGAAAAAATTTTTCCCAACTCGGCAAAGTCCTCCCAAAGCCTCATACGACCCCCCCCCTCTCCCAATAAACGGACCAAAACACCCGCTGTATAGCCGAAAAATACGAACCGCTTATGAGTTTAAACAACGATGCTGTACCCTGTCTGTAAGTCTCATCTTGGTGATAGTCTCATCTTGGAGAAGAGCGACTGGTGAAGCAAAACTAGCAAAAGTGAAGGCGGGGAGTCAGGAAAATTCATCCAGTCAACAATCAAAAAATGATGAGATCGCTACATTATCGAAGGGAACAATTTCAGAATCTTCTGATGGGTCGCATTCAACCCCTCCTGGAGACTAAATACGACCTTCTAGATTCGTTAACTTTGATATACACTGCCAGAGGTTGTAGTTCCTGCTACCCTCCACCCCCTTTTCGCGTGGTCTTCTGCCGGAAGGGTACCCGCCCCATACTGAACTCCCAAAAATGCGCGTCTGGTAGTACTCTGCACTGCGATTCGAAACCCATTCTCCGAGCGGAAGCACCCCGAGTTCATGCTCCTTCCGGAAGGGTTTGGATTCGGCTTCAACTCTTCGGCACAGTTCACAGCGCCCACCCAATCCTTATTTTTAGCGCTTTGGACGGGGCTCAAATAATACGTTTGCTTCGTCACCAAAGAATGCACTTCTAAAGCCAGCTCAGTGGTTCTTCTAGCGCTCAAGCACGCTGCCCCATGGGTGATCGCTCCGCATTAGCGCCGACCTACCGTATCCGAACTGCATACCCGTTGTCGCACCGGGACCTATATGGCGTGGCCGAAGCGTGCTGTGCCCGTGAAGCTTTCAGTACTGTTTCGTGGAAGTTGCATATTATTCTGAGCTGCTAGGATCGGTGTAAATCCTTCTTGGGAGCTTCTTCCTCCCATTTTCTATTATTAGTGGTTATTCTCTATCCGAAGGGGAAGCTGTAATGGTCTCTTCATCTCCTGGATGCCAAATTTGCTAGCAAAGTAAAAGCCGATTGTCCTTTTCTGTTTTCCTATTCGTTTTTGTTTCTTCGGAGTAGGTCTGTGACCTGTTGATGGAATTCTTCAAAATTTTCAATGGCAGTGCTAGGTTCCTCTTGTTTTATTTTCTTTGATCATCAATGGATTTTAATGGAATTGTGAAGGAACTTTGTTTCTTGTACGTGTGAAAATCACTTGGGAATATCATGCACTCAGCTTGAGTCCAATATATCAGGCAGTTGTGTAATACGGGAACGTCCTAGGTTGGGAATCCCAGCGAGTGGGGTTGATTCCATCGCTGGAGGGACGAGGTTATTTGCCTTGAAGAAAATGTTCTCGGTTGTTGATTTTTTCATGGTTTTTTTCGTTTCATTTGCGCTATATACCTCCCTTCTCGCCGTTCGACGGCGGAAATGCATAGCAACTTGGAAGTATGTAGAAAGATGGTAAGTTTGGTGGGGAAAAGGGGGAAATTCTCAGAGGGGGTGGCGCATTTACAAACATTTTCCTTGAGGGCAGGACATGGGTTTGTGTGATGACATAAAATAAAAATCAGCATTTCCTCAAAAAAAAACGAAAACTCCTTTTCCCGACTGAATAGATTTGCCTACCTCGGAACCCCTCAAGGCTTGAATAAGGTCCTCATATCCTTCTGCTTGATCGTTTCTTCGCCCTTTAAGCGTTAAATGCCATTCGACAAAAAGGCAACGAAATGGCGTGAAAATTAAACCCGCCTACTCCGGAATGGCACGATATTTCTATATTAGGTGTTCCGTACCCTTTCTATGCTCTTTATTCAAACGAGTTGAGTTTGTCTGTATTTTGTGTTTACTAGTTACTAAAGAGTTGTAGCAACGCTCCTGCCAAGGAAGTGGCGCAGTTCGGCGACGGGAGAGGGGGCTTTTTGCACTTTTGCTACCTCGTAGGAACGTGTCAAGCCGTCTGGAAAGTTATTTCTTGAGCTTACAAGAGCAGACAGGTCTCAACATGGTGGCGGGGCGAGCTTGCTCCAGCTCTACAAAACGTCACAGATTTCACCGGGGTAAGACTTGTAAACCAGAACTGAACCAGCGAAAGTGCAATGCCACCCCTTCCCCCCCCTCCGAATTGTGCAACATATGTGACTAAATTTACCGGACTTTACAAGGCGACCCGGTCTATGTGGTTAGCGCTATCGTCTTTAAATCGCTTTTAGTGGAATTCTAGTTGCTTTTGCTGTTGGCGCGCGCACAGGTGTAAAAGAAGTGCGCATTCCAATAAGTCGTAAA